TTCATGTAGGTATATATAAATGTCAATGTATGTACGTATCCGAATAAAGCGACCGTGCTCTTCGATTTTATTTTATCTCCAGTTGGCATTGAGAATATTTTGAAGAAATATTTTACTGCTAGAAATGTTACCATCTCAGCTCAATATTATATTATTATATTATTAGCAAGTTAGCTCTGTTTCAACATAATGTTTAACATAAAGATTAACGATACAAATTTCAAATGCTTATAAAAAAAATAGAATTATATATTTTTTTAAATTCAAATAATTTACAACGCGCTTCTCTAATCATATATTATCAATATGTATACTATCATAATACGCTTATCTGGTCACTGAATCACATTGTTGCGTAAAGCTATCTGATTTGAAAACGATGTTACGAAGACTCGCGTTTCCCGTTTTATTATGAATCATTATCCTTTAAACTCGCGTCTTTATAATACGTTTGCATCTGGTTTTTCTTCCCGATTGAGCAAGAAATGCTATTAACTTTCTCCGTTATGCTTATTAACTTTTTCGAGTAGAATTTACGAGTGTTTTGTCAGACCCTCTTTCATTCAAAGCGCTGTAATCTTTGATAATCTCTACTTTATAATACACTATCATGTGGTACTATTATACACATGTTGTTTTGAGAAATTTAAATGCCTCTTCTTTTGATGCTTTTAATTGCATGGCAACATCATTAAGAGGAAGAGAGAGAAAGAGAGAGAAAAAAATGTTGATTATTTTTTTAAATAAAGCATTTAGAGTTCTATGAAAAAAATTTGAAATTATTAGAGATACTACAAGTTAACATTAATTAGAGATATTAGATTACTTGCTCATCTAACGTACATAAATGTGTTCACACAAGAGTGAACACATGAATTGATTTTATTCCATCTCCAGAACGGTTCTGCTAAAGATCACCGTCAAATAACAACACTTGTCCGATCTTTAAGAGCCGAACTCTCGAGATAACGTCTTAAGATCAGACGATATTAAAAATGGTAATATACAGCTTTGAGAAAACTACGCATCAAGAAAGGATTTTAATACTCGACGATGAAAGACGCAATTTCTAATTTGTCTCAAGGCACATCATAAACGCGGTAATATTATTGTATCGGGTTTCGATTAACGCGTTTTATTATCGTACATTTATTGGCCATTTCTCACTAAATGCGCACTGTGAATCATCTATAGATACTCTATATTACTACATCATATTTTCTTGAATTATATCTGTTGCGACATAAGTTTTATGAAATGATAATAGAGCGATCGATAAAGCATAAAACAGTCGTATCTTTGATTCGATGAACCTGGTTCATCGTCACAAGCGTAATCCCCGATTATTTGCGATAAAACAATACAAAAGCCATATTGCTCCGATTATAACAGCAATTAACAGTTATTAACATAAATGCCCCGTTTAATGTATTCGGAGCCGCCGTTTGAAAACGGCAAGTTTAATGAGAAGTCAATATTCAAATCGCACCATGTACATCGAGCAACTCGAAATTTAATTTGCTAATAGTAGGGGTGTACGAGCTCTCGTTATTATAGGATACGTGCAGAATATCTCTGCATCAATCGTTTTCCATTAAAAACACATATTATATATCAAAAAAATAAATTGTTTTTCAAAAATTCTCTGTCAATATTGGAAAGGAAAATGATCAGGATTTATAGCAAGGTGCAGAAAAGAAAAATTCTTGGCGATTTAGTGGACTTCGCGTTTCCGGTCCAGGCTTTAAAAATATGAGTTTATCGAGTTCGCGGTATGGCACCAAGACTTGTCTTATAAAATCGGTTGATATTTTCCAGAAGGAGAACTGCGCGGGTTATCGCCGGCTAGAATAGAGCTCACGGAATAAGACCTCACAACGTCGCTTTGTTCCTGTCTCTCGAGTACGAACGAAACAATACCGGTAGTGTGTTCGATGCAAAAGTTCCATGATTCCTGCTTCTGCTAGGCCTCCCGACCCTTCACTGAACCCTCTTTCACTCAAGCGACTTCTCTAACGAAGAACAGAAACTCGTGGAACTCTCGCGACGGGCACACGCATGTAAACCGGACAAACGCGAACGTGGGCCGTGTATAGAAAATGAATGAAGTCATTCTAAGCATGCCACGAAGACAGCATCACAAGAGAGAGAGAGAGAGAGAGAGAGAGAGAGAGAGAGAATCTTGATAATACTGCACTTCAAAAAGCGAAGAAGAAAACCACGATGTGCTATGATGTTACGGGGCGGAAATAGCAATTAAAACTGGTGAGTTATATTGCTCGCAGAAAGATAACTGTACCGCCGCGCCCGTAATATACGATAAAAGCACGCACGACTCTAATTCCGAAATAATAATGTAGCTCACGGCTCGTATAGCTGCTGCGATTCGACGATAAACTCGTCGAAATGAACAAATGCTCGATGATGCGAAGGGAATACCCAATGGGAGTGCTTAGCGTTACGAATAGTGCGTTAAATTTGCAACGCTGCGCGACCACCATCGTCTGCAAAAGCGCATGCATATTGTATAAACGTGCGATGGTTTGATGCCTTTTGTAACTCAGCGCGGAATCGCGCGTGCGAGGGGCCGATTATTAATCGCACAGCGGTGAAACACTTTCGCGCGCGCGCGCACGCTCGTTCCGGCGAATCGCGAGAACAATCGCGGCTTGTTAACGCAACCGACATAGTGATAATGAAGTATTATAATGACACTTCATGCACATCAACGCTAACAAAAAGCTTTTCCACCCGAAAGCATCCTCGCATTTATGATGCACCAATAATTTTCGTACACCTATATATGCTGAAACAAGTATGGCAACTTAATATCGTATATAGTAATTAACATTTTCTAAATAACGGCCCATCATCAGAGACAGAACAAGATAATTTGCTTAACCAAAGTTAGCACTAAGTGACCTTAAAGCCCTTAAAGTACCTAGTCCTTAAACGAGCGAATATGGGTGGATAACAAGTTGTAAGTACCTATCATGTATATGTTACGATGTGCGATAACTAAATTATACAGAAACACGATCTAAAATTAATTGAATAGATGTAATATATCTCCTTAAATTACATAATATATTTAAATTCAAAGCCAAAGACAGTGTTTTAATTAATACAACTTTATTCCTCTAAAATGTCTTTTTAAATAATTATGATTCCTATGACACGTTTTAAAATTATCTCTTCTCACATAAACATATATATGTACGTATCACTCGATTTCTTGCAAAACGCGTTTTCATCCAAGATTCGCTATCTATGTGACAATCTTATGAGGACTGTTTTGATAATTTGCGATCGTTTGATAATACGAGGCAGTAAGGAAGATGGGTACGATAGCGGCAACGAGAGAGAGACAGGACGATCATGATGGAGATAACGATTACACGGAAATACGGTGATCATCAAGCATCGTAATTATAAGATGAGAGTCAGGAAGATTTTGCAATAGGAAAAGAAGTAGCCGTGATTACCAACCATGGCGGATGATAAGGGAAATCGAGCGAATCATATCATGGATCGCTTAAAAGCTCGTTTATGCAGAATTAATGGTAACGTCTAGGAAAAGCAGACGACCGTATCTGATACCGGCATTTTTTGCTTAATCGGCCTGACCTCGAGATTACTAGTCTCTACGAGTCTATGATATGAGAACTGTTTTAGTATATACCAATCCTTCAGCCTCTAAATACTCGGAGATCGCTTCTCGATTTATTATTGTGTAAAAAAACACATGTTTCTTTGATGTTCAAATCGCCATTTATTAAAGGAATGTCATAAGTCCGTAAATTCGTACATGAATATATGAATCTCGCATCGACATATAAAATTTAGTTATCAATAATAAATATAAATGAGCTATGAAAGATCAGGACAAAACTACATGCAATTAATAATCATCAGTATGCTTTTTAAATAAATTAATTGGAATATGATACACGCTATTTTCCTGCCTTTTTTGTCTAATATTTTTGATAAAATTGAAAAAAACTTTTAATTATTACTTTCTTGTATCAGTAAATAATATATGTTATCCTGAAAAAATAGAAATAAATTGAATGCAGATTTCAAATTCTTAATAAATATTTAGAAAAAAAGAAAAAAAATACAACTAAAAAAACACAACTAAATATTAACAATTTTTTCTACACAATTGTTTCAATAATTTTATTTTTTATAAAATATGTAACATAAATGAACACTATAAAAGAATTTAAATAAAAGTTTTATAACAAACATTGCTATTTCGCGCTCTCTTACATGAGTTTTTTACATTTTTTATCTTTATTCTTTTGTTTTTTTATTTATTAAAAAATAAATTTTCCAAAAATTTAAAAATACAATCTATTTAATTGTCCCAATTACTTTATTATTATATTATATCTTCATGATATTCTCAATTGCATGAAAATCTTATTTGCGTACAGAATGTTTGGCAAAAAGTAATACAAGATAATATTTTTTAATTAAATTTATTGAAATAAATGTTGTTTTTTGAAACAATATTTATCATTTTTTACCAAGCTTACTTTATTAATGATAAAAATATCTCCCATTATTCTTTTGTTTACGTTCATGAATTTATGCTATACACATTTCAGACAAATTTAGTATTTCATTCAAATATTAAGATACGAAAATAAATGATGTATTATTTGTATACATGTTTGTACGTACAACAAATTACTAGCGTCAGTATTCATATATTACAATTAATTATTTAGTATATTATATTTTATATTAAATATTTATTATTTCTCTATATTAATCTATATAAAATCTTATATTAAATCTAATCTCTGATCTAACATTCTAACCCATTTATACTTCGAGACAATGAATCTACGATTTACAAAATATTATATTTACTATATTATTATGTATTAAAAAATATACACGTATGTACATACAAAACTATATCTTCAATGCATCTGAAATAAAAATCTGCGCTGATTCATTATCTCAAATTAAAATAAAACTTAACTCACCAGTACGACGCGCAGCAGCGGAGTTGTTACACCAACTACGTTGATCTACAAAATACAAATATGTCCATATTATAAATTATTCCAGCATTCATAAGAATTAGGAGTGTCTTCTATTTAACGTACGCAACGCTCGCGTGCATCATTTCATTTTTTTAAACATTTGATAAACAACAAGGATGAAATGTGCTCACAAATGTTGCAAACAAATAGAATAAGGCCTGAGGATCTTTTTCATCCTTATTTTAAGTTAAATTTCATGATTGAAAGTTAACCATGAGTTGTGAAATTGGCCTTAATGCCTGTTTCTACAAATGTAGATTAACTTTAAACCCGGTTCAACTTATTCTCATTCTTTTTATAATTCTTAGAACTGGAAAAAGAGAAAAAAATAAGTTCAACTAAAATTAAATTAAATCTACATTAGTAGAAACAGGCATAAATGAACCCCACGTAATCGTTCGTTAACTTAACCGAGGAGAAAGAGACCCTAAGGCCGAGCTTTACAATTTCGAAAAATAATTGACGCACAATTGTTACTTTCTAAAACCTTTGGAGTGGATTCTAGAAAATTCTAGACAAAGAATGACACAATTAAGCCAAGGTTAAAAAAAGAAATGATTTAATTGGCAATTTTTAAGAGATTTCACTCTTTAGAGTTAGATTGTTAGATCATACTCCAAGGATTTTAGAAAGTAGAAATGATTAATGTTGCAGGTGGATAAAATAATACGTTACTCACCTCATGGTTGCTCCGCCATTGCCCGATGCCTCTCCTAGGCCTCTTCCTCCTCTCAGATTCTTTCGTTGAACTCACTCACAACACTCACTCGCGAAAACAAAATTATAACTGCGCGCGCGATACGTAATTATCAGATTCCAATGATCGCACGATATTTTAAACGGCACTTCTATCGTTAATCACCGCGTATCGACGTACGAATTTGTGGAATTTGTGCTACGCAGGTTGAAAACAGTATGGAGGAAAAAAAAACAATTACGCATCACGATGCCACTCGATTCGCAATCGATTCTTTATCTCCGACGTTCCGCGAATGATTGAAAAGCTCGAGGATAGAATCGGCAACTTCACTCCATTGCTTCAATACGACGCGATCGCGAATATGACTGTTAAAAATGCGACGGATCGTCCGAAAACATAACAGATTTTACATCGCATGCATTCGATCGGATAAATCCCGTGAAATACATGCACTGGCGATAATAAATGACTCGACAATATGCCACGGCCTTTCATTGCTTAAACTTAACCTCTCAATTCGCAGCACGATTACTCCGAATGCTTTCAACTCGAAGACGAAATGGATAAATCACAGCAAGAGTTCACGCAAGAGCTCGGCGAGAGACTGTACGAATCTAAAGAAGTATCGTTAAAGAAATAAACTAGTAAATGAATCTCATTATCGATTCGCGATCGCGTTTTGATACGTAATAATGTGACGACGCACGGAACATTTCGCGACGCGACTTACCGAATCGAATGCCGCAGTACGAATGGTAGTACACTGACCTTGCCTAAAAACATTGAGCCGTTAGGAAACGAAAACAACTGCCAAGGCTACGCGCCAGTTTTATTACTATTCCCGGAATACATAACGTACTATGAAATATATGCGAAATGTACATGCGAAATGTCTACGCAACTTTAATTTCGAGGAAAAAATTATATCATTCTTCGTGCTTATATGCTGTGAGTTTTTTGACGTTATCTAAAATAGCACTTCAACTCAATTAAATTAAGGTTATTTAAAAATTACAATAACAATTATTTAAAGTTTAATTTTTTAACAGTTTAATTTACGCAACTTGATTATTACGTACTTTAATTTCTCATTTTTTAATTTATTGCCCATATTGAAAAAAATGTTCGGAATTAACGACTTTTCGGAAGTTCAAATGTTCTTGCAAAAAAACATGACATTTTTGGTGAAACCAAACGGAATTTCTGGTTTAATTCAATTAAATTAAATAAAAATTTCTAGTTATCATAACTAGAATTAATTTCAATTTGTTTTCCCCAACAAAATGTTATTCTTGTTAGATCCTTCTGTTAGTTTAATCAGAACATTTTTGTGAGTGCATAAAATCACGAGATGCTTTGTCTCTTAAGACAAAAGAATTAAAAAGAGTAATAATAAATTAATTTACATAAATACTTCTCTCCAATTAAATTGAGAATAATTATATAATTCTATAAATAAACGTTAAATTTAATATCCACACATATCGAGCTGGAAAAAGATTAATTTCAAACAACGCGTATCATTGCTTCGTTAATCAATATGTAATACAAGAAAATTACTTATTATTATTCAGAATATAAAAATAAATAATACAGAACAGTCTTCTAAGTCCTAATTGGAATGTTCAAAAATCTATTCTTATATGAAGTCAAGAGTTTTCCATATAGAGATAATCATTCTTAAAAAATAGTTCAACCATTTTTAATGTCAGAATTGAATTATACGTAATTTTTTCTAATTAAATATTCAATTGATACAAAATAAAATAATTATTAATATGTACATATAAGTATATCTACCCTTAAACCTTAGTACACACTTTAGTTTTTAACACCCTTATTACACATGTTCGGTCATTCGCGTCCTGGATTAATTTTCATCACTTTTACAAGTATGTATGAATTATTAAACAATTTTTACATATATTTTGACATCTTTAGAAAGTATTTGTACAGTTATATATGCATAACAAATTGTAGATAAATTGTTAAAACTAAATATAGTTAACAAAATGAGGAAAATACACTGTTTCATATAAAAATGTAAAACTCTTGTGAAAAATGTTTAAAGGCAAAATATAGGTCAATAGCTTAAAATTGATATTCGTAACTATAAAAAAAAATAGTTCAAGTGTTGGCTGTCCAAAAAGTTTTATAGTTATTGAGTTACTTGAAAATGATTTTTTTAATATACATGAATAGCTATAAATTGAAGATATATTGTATTTACATTTTAAATAATGTATTTTACTATTGCTATTGTGTTAAAAAAACTTATAATTAATTAGGAAAATGTTTTTTATAACATTACAGACAATCTAATGTATAATATTACTGACGTTTAGCAAGTTTGACAAAAATGTGTTTAATAAAGGCTAATATGTTGTTCTAGGATTAAATTCTTTTTTTAATAATTCGTGAAATATTCCCGCAATACAACCGAGAATTAATTGAAAATAAAGAAAAAAATAAAAATTTTACATGCGTTGGATCATTGGTGACCCAAAAGATGAATTTCGGAGTTATGCCAGTTAAAGAATACGCGCGAATTGAGACAATGCACAAAACTTGTTCTCTAGATGCCAAAATGTTTTAGGAATAGAAAAGAGACCAGTATTTGATCAAGTGCCCTTAATATTTCAAAGAAAAGACATACGCATGAATAATCCAAAGGTGTGTATTAATAGTTAATAATCGATTGTTAAAACATGAAGAACAATTAAAAATAATAACTCAGACTTATCTCAAGATAAATTCTAAGTTTTTCAGTCGTTATAACGTAACGATCATTGAATGACTTTCGAGATAATTCACTCAAACCGTGTCACGTCTCCAAACTGGTTTTAATTTTTTTAGAAGACATAAATATATATGTGTATATATTAATACTAAATATAATTGATTTTTATACTTTGTCACATAAAATCAACATCAATGAAATGTATATTACATTTATTATGTACACGACATTGTTAGATTGACATAATTAATAATATTAATCACGATATTATAATTTTGAATAATAATGTCTCTCAGACTCATATTCTCTAAAACTTTTAGAGTGAAATCTCATTCTTGAAGATTGAAAACTGAGATATTTTTTTTCCAAAACTGGCTCAATTTTCACTCTTTAGAGCAAGATTCCACTCCGAAGAATTTAAAGAACTCATGATAATACAATCATTAATTATGTCAAGGCAACGTTGTATATCTAATATCGTGAGAGATAATAAATGTAATATAAAAAGACATTGTTTGGTGTCGATTTTTTTATACGAATAAAAGTATAAAAATAAAAAAACTGTCATATTTAGTGTAAAAGAGAATAAAAACTAAATCAATCGAATTTTTGCATTAATCACTCGATAGACGGCGGCTTTTTCCTGCGGCATCTGCATGCAGCATGCGAGCGGATGTGTTCGAGAGAAAGTTACGAACGCCGAAAAAACCATATGACGAGGATCGACGATCCCGTTGTGCACGCCGCATAATGACTCGATTGTAAATCCATGCCCGCGCGTTGCATCATTCATGCGGCCCGAGGGCGAGAGAACGCCATATTTGGCCCCGTCTCATCCGAACCTCTCTCCGTAGGGAGGGCTATTTGTTCATTAATCTTATAACGCAACTTCCCCTCTTCTCCTCTGGGTTGCAAGCGCATAAATTACCAATGCCGGCTACATACAGCGAGCGCCGCAAGTCCCTTATCCCGTGCGCGTATGTACGCGCTCGATGAGTGGAGAGAGATAAAACAACATCCACACATTTTTACAGGAGTATTTCATCAATGTAAAAAAATCACGAAAAATATCAACATAAAAACAATTACTTGTTTAAAATGTTTACTATCGTGTTATTTTAAAATAACAGATGTTTCGCTACAAATTTTATTTTATTTTTTTTTTGTAACTTTAAATATATTACCAATTACAATCTACGGTATAAATTTCTCTATAAAAATAAATTTTATATTGATAACCGATAGATAAGAAAGTTATTACATATCTATATTTTTTAAAGTTGATTTTTTTTAATTAAAAACATAGATATTAATTTAAAGATAAATATTTAAAAATTATCAGAAGAAAATAATCTCCAACTGTTTTTATAAAAAGATCTGTAAAATAATACTAATAGCTTTAGGATATCATACGTAAACTTCTAAGAATGCGACGTGAAATCACAGTTGTAATTATCATTGTTTATATTAACGATACAAATAGGTGATAAAGATTCATTGTTTATTATCTTCCATTTGCTAAAGACAATGGTACTCAATTATAGAGTATGTCAGATGATGTAAATGTGCATGTTTACACGCTCACACGTCAGTTAGTAACACGCGATATTTTATTGTTAGATTAAAACAGCAGAGAGCTGTAGAGGACTGATCAAATAAAAAGAATCTATATTTTTAGTACCTACAATTTTTTCTATCGTTCTGTTTCAACAACGTGTGATTAAATTCTTGATTTAACTTTATCTAAAGCAGTACGTTTAAACACAAATGTAAAACAGATACATCGTATACTATTGTAATAGGAAAGTAGAACGTGTATAGTAACCCTACCATTTGGATGATGCAATGGACTATGTGAAAGATTATTTCAACAAAATACAACGTGTGAGCATTCGCCGGGGATTTAGGGATAACGACTAGATAACGACCTTCCTATCTGTAAAATAAAATCAACTTGGAAATATAAACATTCATTGGATTTGAGAAAGATAAACGATTTTTTCGAAAAATAATTTAGAGAGCGCAGAATATGGATAGTTCTTTTGTTAAATAAATTTAGATTATTTTTTCACGGTACATCGCGACAGCTTTAATAAATATTATATAAAACAATTTGCAACGCATGTGTTTTTTTTAGCAATTGCTCTACGCGCAACAAATTGCGAAATTTCCCCTTAATGTCGCATAATGATAAATTGAAACATTTGCGCTTTATCTTTTACGACGTGAGAGTATAAACAAGCTAGTAGAGTAGAATGATTGTAAGGCACGTAAAGTTTATTTAATGCTCACTTCTGTGTGTAAACGAAGATCCATTCTTCCAGCAAGACAAAGCCAGTTGTTAATGTCAAAAGTTCTCTCAGAACGACCAATTAAATGCACAGCTAATTTTGAGTGTTACGTCTCTTAAAGTTTGATCTTGTCGATTATTATAACTACAGTAATTAAAGTTATGTAGAGAAAACATCAATTTGCAGTAAACTTCTATTAATTTTAGGGAATACCCTTACAATTCGATACATATAATGGTAATTTTTGTTAGAGCAGTTGTATGCTTTATCTTTAACGATTTACGTAATATTTACATATTTGCGCGTCGTGTGAATTTTGATAAATTCGTAGTGTTATCTCGCAAGATTTATATTCTTTACATAAATTTACATGTACAATTAGAATTCTACAATTCATTAGAGTGTTAGATTTTAGTCAAAGTAAATATTAATGATAAATAATATGATTCAATAAGCATTTTACATGATGAATGAACATTATGAAGAATTTTACATCAGCGTGTATTTGTTTAAAGAAACTGTCATATCGATTTTACACGCGTTGACTGCCGTTTTACTTTGTGTATTGTCCCAGATATGATGAGATTACGTCACAGTACACTATAAAGGCAATGCAAATATTTCATTAGTCACGTCTGTACATACGCAATAATCTACATATATAA